TATTTTAGCCAAAGATGTCTCATTTTCAGTTTTTTTAAAAGGCGGTTCCCCCCCTTACAAAGGACAGGGGGCCAGGGGGCCCCCAGGGGGCAAACTGAAAATCCGGTGCCAGTTTTGTGGAGCGGAAGGATGATATTATACCAGGATGTCAGCAGAATTTTAACCAGTCTTTTGCATTTTGAGATAATTAGTTAACAAAATCTCAGTTTTCAGGGTTAAAAATACCTCAAAAAATACATTTTGGGGCATGAACTTCCCCCCCTGATCCCAAGTCTAGGTTAGTGCAGGAAGTGAAACAAATATCATCATGAATGTTTCCACCCCAAGGACTAACTACACACAAAGTATGAAGGAAACTTTATTTTGACCATTTCCAATTTGGCTCCATCCTTAGCGACATTCGTTCTTAAGCTCTTGCCAATGATTGAAGAAGTTTTGAAGTCTTGTTTTAACTCTTAGGCTTTTCTTGAAGCGAAAAAGCTTTTACATGATGCAGCGCCTCTCTCCTCCGCAGAGGCTCAATGGGGTTTTAGAGAAATCCGCTGAACGTGGTGTGTGCAGGCGCAAGTAACTGACGGATCAACGAAGCGGCGAGCCTCTGCCAGATTTGTGTCGTTTTCTATATGAGCCTCTGCGGAGGAGAGAGATGCAGCGCCTGTTTGAGAACTTGTTCGTTTTCGAGAGATGGTATTTTTAGGCTGTTTTCCACGTGTGAAATGTATGCATGTCAATCAAGCTTGTCATTTTTAAACCAATGAAGTTCATGTAGGCGGAGCGTGGTCAGCTAGCCGCGCGTGACATGGAATCAATAAAATACGAGCGTTATAAATTTTTGTACGTATATTATTAATAAGTAATCACATGATTTTTCTCGTGCAATTTGGAATAATGAGCACTCGTAAATTTTTCAAAGGCCACAAATTGCACTCGCCCTACGGGCTCGTGCAATTTAGTTAGCCTTTGAAAAATTTACTCGTGCTCATTTATTCCAAATTGCACTCGAAATCATGTGATTACCTATACAAAAACGTCTCTACTTGTCCGGTACCGTTTATCACAATTCCGTATTGCACTCTATAACCTATTTATGCACTCGTCATTGACCAATCAGAAGCTGCATATTTTGTTGAGTATACTATAAGTATAGGAAATCGTATGAACGCGAGTGCAATTCGTGATTTATGGGCACGAGTGATGTTTTGAAAGTTCTCAAAATTGCACGAGCCGTTAGGCGAGTGCAATTTGAGAACTTTCAAAACATCACGAGTGACCATAAATCACTAATTGCACGAGCAGTTCATACGATTTTTTGTTTATAATATTCTCAACAAAATTTTGCTGCGGCCATCACGCTACTCTGCACATGAAACGCTTCATTGGTTTCCAAAGTGCTCTCGCATGTTTTATTTGAACGCGCAGGCAAACCAAACGGGACCTTTTTGAAAGAATTACAGTACTATTATAGTTTAGAAAACATTTAACCATTAACTTGAAAGCTTATTTCAATGCCATTAAGGGGCAAAAACGTCTCTACTTGTCCGGAACCGTTTATCACAATTCCGTATTGCACTCTATAACCTATTTATGCATTCGTCATTGACCAATCAGAAGCTGCATATTTTGTTGAGTATATTATAAGCTAAATTACGGTATGTGCCAAAAACGCGGCTACTGCACTAAATGATATGCGTTTCCGTCTCCTACTCGTGGTTGTCTCAAAAAATCGTCTTCAAACAATTCAAAAACGATAATATTCGACGATTTTTATTTTTAAACTAACATAGTTCAAGGAGCTCAAAAAATTACGATGTTTTACAGCTAGCCTGCAGGCGTAGAAAGGGGAGGGAGGAGGGGGAGGAGGGGAATTCGGGCGCGAGCGCGAAGCGCGAGGAGAGAGCGCGAAACGCGATCGCGGGAAGGGGGCTGTCCACCTTTACCGCCGATCGCGCTTCGCTCTTCGCTTCGCGCTTCGCGCTCGCGCCCGAATTCCCCTCCTCCCCCTCCTCCCTCCCCTTTCTACGCTACCCTGGGTACTAGAGGCTAATTTCTCAAGAAAAGCCTCTGGCACCCAGGGTATTTCTACGCCTGCCACGCAGACTATTTTACAGCTTGTGCCCGAAATTGTCTCGCTTCTATGTTTTAACTGTATTGTTATGCAAATATTTCAATTTAACCGCGAAAAGGGCTATTGCGATGTTGTTGCCAAATATTAATGGCAACTCTTCCATGCATAACATTTATCATAATTTACTAGAAATACGCGTGTCGCAGAAACAATTAGTGGTGGATGCATTTTGTGAAGCTTTCAGTTCTGCTGACTGTCTACGTACGTGTCAATTTTTTTTTGGCTGGTGAATCTCACTAAAGTAGTTGAAATAAATTGACTTCCTTGTTTCAATTCAAGGGAATTCGCATATAACATAGCCAGCAAATTCGCCATGCGGACCCGCACTATGGCTACAAAACTTCCCTGTATAAATTCGATAAACACATATGCTAAAGCTTGGTCGGTTCTGTCTAGCCCGCGAGCAGGTCCATGCGTGAGCGGCGAAAGCCGCGAGATTCACGCTCCCGACGAGATTCGCGCGTGATTCTTGCAGCTTTCATCGTTCGCGTATGGGCCCCCAAAAACGTGAGCCTGCCCGCAGGCTTGCACGTCATGTCTCGAGGAATCGTAATTCGTCATCACGGTCACCTGCTGTATGGTGCAGATGCATGCAGCTGCTAAATTACATGTATTTGAATCTGTCGAGTTGGTATAATACTTGTCATAAGACACAATAAAAAGAAACGAAACTATATTCTTACCGGAACATCCATGGCATAATGGGGAAGACGATTCCAAATAGAGTACAGAGAATGTCGTCGATAAATCCGATTTTACGTTTAAAATTCGCTGAAGAAGAATTCCTGAAGATCATATTTGACCGCGCATTTAATATACGCGCGCTAACACCTCGAGCTGATATACCGGATGTGTCTATGATCACATTAGACAGGAGTTGTTTTGAAAATCGTTTTTAGAATCTATTACCTGTCGCCATATTGACTTAACCAACTTTTTATTGTTAACAATTAATCGACAAAGGCGAAGTGCACGTGAATATTGATGAATTCCAAATTCGAGAGGTATAACTGTGCTAGGAAGCATGTCTGTAGCATTTTTTCAGCCTTCTATACATTCGTTTGTTGCCGGAAAGCGCGGTTTTATGGCAAAATTCTAGAAATATGTATGAAAAACGAACGAATAACACAGTACGTCCTCAAATTTGACCGGTTGTATTCTTTCACCTGATATTTTCGTCCTCTTCTTTTTAAACAAAGATGCTCGAAACTGATTGGTTCTTATAGCACGCTCCGTTTTACACCGAAATTGAAGCGCGAGTTTCAGTTCAGTTTTATTTTTATTACAGACTGTTTACAAAAGATAAAATAGGTAAAATACAGGAACAATTCATTATACATGAGTGGAAATAAAATAAATATTCAATAGAAAAAATACAAGCAGCTGCATGAGGTGTCCAATAAACAAGATGTGCAATAACAAGGTGTCCAATAAACAAGATGTCCCAACAGGGTGCCATTAACTTCTCCCGTGTAGTGGTTATGAAATAATTATTTAAAATTACAAAGATCTATACGATTCTATAACCTGCCAACTCTGATGCAATATGCGTGAGTCTCACGCTGACAGGTCTAAATCGATCGGCTTCTATCTCATGCATACCGCCGAATTGCGATTCTAACGTCTGGCTCACAAATTTGAACTTTCAAGACTCAAATGTATGACCATTTTCGTTAAAATGTAATGTTGATCCAATAATTCTCCCTCGCTGTAAATAACACTTTTATGTGTTATCGCACATTCTTCACTTTTGAAGGAAAAATGCAAGGAGACAAGGGTGTTTTTTCGGAAGATTCCCAAAATCAGATTTCTTCAGAACAGCTTCGGAAGACTTTGGCTCTTCGTAGGTCTTCGGAATACTTCGGCATCTTCGGAAGTCCTGAAAATTCCAGGATATGAAATCCCACGCATTTGACTCACAAAAAGTTGGCAGTATATGATTCTTATAACATGCATTCTTTTGTACGCATCCCTTACAAATGATGAATGCCGAATCATCCTATTTAAGGAACCAATACAAAACAAGGCAATGAAGGGTCACGTGATCAGGAAGGAAGAGGTTTCCTAATCAGGGGTCTGCGAACTGAAGTGTTATATGGAGCCTAACTGTGTGTCCATTAATGTTGGACCTATGGTGGGAGGAAAACATAAATGCGAGTTGAATAACAGATGAAAACCAAGCTGTCACTACCTTAGCGGATTACATCTATCTGGGGATTGAGGTAAAACATTCGATTTTCGAGTTCCCAGACGTGTTTTTCAATTCTGTCGTCTAATAATAATACTGTGGGCCAATATACGGACGATAGGTTTATAGATCTCGCCTGTTTCCATTTGGCAGAAAACATAGCAAATATATATGTTTTATCCACACAAATACGAGCGTTTTAGAATCGTTTTGACCTGATTGACGGCTGTGAAAACCCGCAATGGTTAGTTGGGTTTTGAACTTCTGAGTTCGCGTGTTATTGAAAGGCCCCGTACATGATAAGGTCGTCTTTACCAATACATTTAAACAGCTATACCAACGCGATTTAGTCCCCACTAGGACTTCATTGATTGTTTACAACAATATTTGTCTCCTGTTTTCGTTACATAGATTCTACCAAATTCTCCGCGTTATCATTAATTGATAATTACATAAAATACGAAATAGAATATAAATATAGAATATGAAAATGAAACAAAAATATGGGGACGACGTGAGAAAAAAAAAAACCGGCAAAGGAAATTAAGGAAAAAATAATGCATAGTGCAAGTGGCGCATGCGGCAATTACCTGTTGCAGATTTGAGGTTCAACAACAAAATCCTGCATATGACCAGCATTATTTCTCCGCTTACCTTTTATTTTATACCTTATATCTATTTGTAGGAGACGCGGTGGTCGAACGGTTAAGCTCGTTGGACTCCGGACCGAGTGGTCCAGGTTCATGCCCTGGCCCGGGGTCATTGTATTGTGTTCTCAACTCTCGCAGTGCCTCTCTTCTCTGAGTACCCGCGGAGACTCAGGAGTATGAATGGGTACCGGCGACAAAATGCTGGGGGTAACCTGCAATGACTAGCATTTCATCCAGTAGGAATAGTAATACTCTTAGTCGTTTCATGTTACAGAAACCAGGATAAGCTCTAGCAGTTTGTTGCCACTTAGGATCGTGAAGACTTTACCATTACCTTACCTTTTATTTACATATACATTGTGACACATCGTTCTTAATTTTATTTTTTTGCACAGAATCCTTGCAGCAGCAGTCCATGTTTAAACAATGGAACTTGTCAAGTGGGATATACCGCTAAAGGATTTCGTTGTAAATGTCGTCCTGGATTCACTGGAGCATCCTGCGGTCAAGGTAAATATGTAAAATCAACTCATCAAGAAAAAATAAACATTACTCTACTGCAAGAAACTTTTAAAAATTTCATTAAAAGGTGAATTAAGCATGAAAATCGGTGCCATTTCAAAGGATGATGGAATTGAAGTAATGGAATAATTTAGACTTTAAGGGAATATCCAATCCCCCGGGGGGGGGGGGGGACTTCGATATAAAAGTGGCGGGGTGCTCCTCGTACCTTTTAGGGGTTAAAATTCATGATTTGGTAACCGCTTAGGGTGTAAAATCTAAATTGACCACCCTTAGAGTTAACGCGGTACCTTTTTAGGGTTGCTGAGCCGGAAAAAATATGACAGGAACTATTTTGTCAATCAACTGATTTTATTCTTGTCTCATTCATGACATGACTTATCGTACATTCAGTTTGGATAACGAGGCTTTTAACTTAATCGCCTCACGTCTTGTTTCAAGTTTCGTTTAGAATGAACCGCTTAAAATGTTTACGAGTAGATCGTATTCGAAGGAATCGTCTTTATTACTACGGGGGAATATCATCCATAAGTAAATACTGCTATCAAGCACAATCGCTTGATGACGTTTGGAAACCTCAAGGTTGTGAACAAAATCAGATTCAGAGAAACTCACAGAATAATTTTAAAGATCCAACGGGCAGCCATAAATGCTGTAACTGTACAGTAACGTTGCAGCAAAGTTGTTTTATTTTCTCTCTATTTGAAGCTTACGTGACATTTCTCGCCAGTTAGCCACCGTTTGCAATTTTTTGTTTTAAGTTTGCCGTTCGCAAACCGTGTTAATCTTCCTCAGTCGTAATCATCCTTGTTCCTTTTCGGATAATTTTTACTTCTCTTACTTCTCTGGTGTTTTCTACCTTAGTGAACTATGATTTTGAGGTCAGTTTCTTCAATTGCAAAGTAATCTTGTACATCAGAAAAATGAGTTAATATCGTGTTGATTGTTTCCTTGACTTTTTTGTACCTGTTGTGATTGTCTCTATGACCAGTCTGGTTGTGTCTTCATATTTGCTTTATTTTCATATAGCTTGTAGCTTAGACTTCGAAGATGGCATCGGTGGTTGGGAAAAGACTGGTACAGTGTTTAATAACCAGCCGACCTTTGGTGACAACCCCTTCAGCCCGCAACCGAGGACAGCCCGCCAATCAACAGGGGGACTGGAGGATAGGGGATACGAGAACCGCTCATCCCAAGCAACACCAGCAGGGGAACAAGGAGACTCACTTCCCCCTGCTTCCGTATCATTGAACAAACCATCTCATTTCTCATTGGCGGGGCTGCAATGTGAACCTTGGTTTGCGCAGAGCTCATTGTCAACGACCAGGTGAAGATTGAATCCCTCATTCCCAGACTCTCCCGGGGATTTGATAACATCATGCCTGCTTTTCGATGTCTACCTACAGTGGAAACGCGATTTCTCAAAAACCCCGATAACTCGGACCAAAAAGTCGTTTCCTTGGATTTGTTTCACTGCAATTTTACCCCAGATATTTCGAACTCCCGATTTCTCGAACCAATTTTCGTTTCCCTTGGAGGTTCAAGAAATCGGGATTCCACTGGCAGTATCTATTGACCTCTGACAGAAAATACTGAAAGCAATAAAATGATTGAACAGTCTGAAAACAACTTATTTTAATAAGTAAAGTCGTAAGTAAAATAAAAACAACGGACATTTCAGTCGCGTACTGGACGCTATTTCATTTAAGATAACGCTAAAGATTGTGGAAATCTTATGTTATCGCCTTTATGTGCCAGTAGGCATGAAGAGGATGGGTGAGTGCAGTGATGTCTACGCGCACAGCGGCAAAATGAGTGCGCGTGCGCCAACCTGCTCACTCATTTCCATACAAACTAATGGCGGCAATTCAAAATTCCGGAATTTGTTTTCATTTCGCGTGGATAAGGCCGTCACGGAACAGATAAGGTTTTTACCTTGAAAACAATTCCGAGAGAGACTCTTCTTTCACATATCTTTTTTAGCAAACTAATTATCTTTTCCACAATAGTGAATTTATCGCTCGAAGTCGAGCGATCGTAAGTGAAAATGAACTCTTTGAGCTATGTTTTCGTGTTTCACTTACGATCGCTCGACTTCGAGCGATAAATTCACTATTGTGGAAAAGATAATTAGTTTTGCTAAAAAAGATATGTGAAAGAAGAGTCTCTCTCGGAATTGTTTTCAAGGTAAAAACCTTATCTGTTTCCGTGACGGCCTATCCACGCGAAATGAAAACAAATTCCGGGAATTTTGAATTGCCGCCATTATGTTTGTATGGAAACGAGCGAGCAGGTTGGCGCACGCGCAGTCATTTTGCCGCTGTGTCATGTCTACCTGCAGACGCTCGAGCATGCGCAAAGGCGTAAATTCTGGTCACCCGCGCGCCAATTTCCGGCGCAAATTTTGAAGGAAAACCATTGCAACAACCCGAAATCGAAACGTTGATAGTAATTTGCGAAAGGAAACAAAAGTAAGTAAAAGGAGCAGTTTAGACTTTTCAACACAAAGTTCAGTATATTTCCAGCATTCTGTTGATCCACCTTTTTTTTTTTTTTTGGATGTTTATCAAAAAAGTTAGACGTGTTTTATCATTACACCGTGCTTTAAAAGCACGGTGTAATGATGAGGTTCGTCGGCGTAGTTTATTTTTGTTTGACATCAGTTTGACCGCGGTGGAACCTACAGCTACTATATTATCAACAGTTTGACTGATTACGTACGTCGTTTTGTATTTTAGGTTGTCAGAAAGGAGACTAGTTACTGCAACGAGACAATGAATCGCAAGAGCTGGGACGTCAAAGACTTGATTGGTCAACACGCTCGTGTCAGGCTTATTGATAACAGCTCTGGCCGCTGGGGTCATATCAACTTTGATGACCTCAAAGGCGATATCATTTGTGAATAGGATAAAGGAAAAAGATCTGTAATGTTAAGCGAACGAGCTAGAGAATAATCAGTAGAAAACTGACAAACTAGTTAATTCAAACCATTGTGCTCTGTATTAAGCCTTAAAACTAATTGTGGGTTAGTTGTTCGTCTGAGAATGTAACTACCTAACGCTATACGTGTGCACACTGTAAGTAAAAACGTTAAACGTCACAGAGGTAATAAAGGGACCAGTTTACAGGTGGACTCTTTCATTTTTCAATCGAACCATCTTAGTTTTCTCTTAGTTTTGTTGTTTGAAAGTGTCGACGCGCGCGATCCAGGATTGTAAGGTCCGGGCCAAACGAGAGAGAGAGAGAGAGAGAGAGAGAGAGAGAGAGAGAGAGAGTCAGACTTGCCGTCGGATGGTTCTAACGAGAGCTTTCAGTGACTCAGGATCGCCAGTCCGGGCCCAAAGAGAGAAAACTCTTGACGGCGATTCTCTCGTCGTTTGCGCGACGAGTTGAAAGAAAATGTTGCCCGTATAAATAGAATAATAAATTGACAGGTAAATATTAGCAAAATAGTTATTATGCACAGACTTGATGCCAAAACAGGCGGTTGCCAATAGTTACATTTCTCTAGCGAAAGAATTGAAACCTGTATCGTCAATCTAAAATTATCCATGCCCCAAATTTCGAGATTTTATACCCTATAAAGAAAATGTAATTGAAGTGAATTAACCGCCCCTTCAGAATTAAACAGTAGGCGTTTTGAGTGTTAGCTCGTTGTCATAGCTACCGAATATCTTATAGAGCTGCTTACGTAGACTAAAATAAGCCAATCATAGCGCCGTATACCATTTTTACCGCGGGCTCAAATTAATAACAGACCTCGCCGTTAAATAAGCTCAAGTGTCCAATCATTTCGTTAAAACTTTGCAGTTGGTATTGACTTCCGTTAGCAATGGGACGTAATTTGTTTTTGTTATTTGTTCTGCTTCTAACTGCCTCCGAGAAATGTCCGCATCTTCTCGTTCATCATACTTCACAACGCGGGAAAATAAGCGGCTTAAAGGATATGTTGTCAAACGGTTTGATTCTCCCAGTTTGTTATCGTGCGGCCACCAATGCATGAGAAACACTTGGTGCACTTCACAAACTACAAGGTGTCCTCCAAGAAGGACGGCGAAGGCACTTGTGAACTGAACAAGCACGAGATCTCCGTCATCAACGAAAATACAAAGTTTCATGGACAGCAAGGCGTTACTTTCTCAATGCTCCTAAAGGTAATTTTAAATATTAGCTAAAATATGCCCTTTTTCGAAATACACTCTGTTATGAACACTGAAGTGGAGAAAAGCTAAAATATTTAACTTTAAGAACATTTTTTTTTTTTTAATATACGTTAGTAATGTACCAGTGTAACTGTGTACACCATTTATTAAAAACTTTGCAGTTCGTATTGACTTCGTTTAGCGGTGGAGTTTAAATGGTTGTGTTATAGCTTGTTATTTTTCCTGTTCCAAACTACCTAAATAAACAAACCTCCAACTCCGACGTTTTTAAATCTATAATTTACATATACAATTAAGGGCCTCCCAAAAAAAAAGTCGTGTGTGAAGCTAGTAGTCGATAACTAAGTGCCTTAGGTATCGATTACTAGCTTCACACACTGCTTTTTTGTTATCGACAACTTTTTTATGATCGACAACTAAATAGGTG